AATACAACACGCTCAACAAATTGTCAAATAGTATAAGTTTAGTTCTAAGATAGTCATAAGTTTAGTTTTAATTTAGATTTAGTTAATCTTAATTTAACTTTATTTTATCTTTATGTTTTTTTTTCTTTCTTTATGTATTTCTTTCTATTAATATTGTTAAACAATCTGCATGACAGATTGTAAGTATATATCTACTATGTTACACCAAAAACTTGTATTTCTATCTTAATTCACTACTGTGATATCGATATGTAACTTTATACTAATAATGTACTACTCCGCCGTCTTTTGTTTACTTACAATATGTTAAGCGGTTTCTTCATCTGCGAAATATATTTTGATAAATAATGTGCATATATCTCTCAGCTATGTATTAAACGGTACTGAGAATGCACCTACAGGGTGTTTAATAAAAGAATTGAATTGAATTGATCTATAACACGTGGACGACCATACGAAATGTAAGAACTCACCTACTGAGAAGCGACCGCTACGTTGGGTGCGCCACACGTATTTCGCGTCAAGCCGCGTCGATGGTGGTCGGCGCACCCAAATGGTCCCGCTATTCTCCGAGCAAAAGGTTGTCTCGTCGGAAAACACGACATTCGCCCATTCATTTACAGTCCAGTTAGCATAGGTCTGGGCAAATCCCAGCCTATCAACCTTGTTTCTTTCAGTTAATATCTGCTTCTTCGCTGCTCGACGACCGTGCAGATTATGTTCTTTTAACCTATTATGAAAACAAATACATATATTATCCTGTTTCCTACATTTCTGTATATGCAAGAAGACGTTAACACAGTTGTATTTCTGTAATATTGACACTTCCATCGAAATATATTTCGCTGGAAGTGTCAGTATTATACTACAAATGTTACATACCTTCGTTTTACAGTTGATGCTGATACATCTAGATTATGCTCCCTTCGGAGTGTCGTTGCCATTTTGAACGGGCTCGCCTCCGAAGCAGCAGCGAGGCGAGCGTCCTCGTCGAGTGTAGTTTTCCAGGCTCGGCCCGGCACCTTTTTAGGTGACAAGGATCCTGTGTCCTGCCGTAACTTGATGATTCTTGCCACAGTTCTAGTAGATATTGAAATCATTTCGGCTATTTCGTCTTCTGTAGCACCTTCATCGTGATGTTGAACTATTAATGCGCGGATATCTTTGCAGATTGCCTTTGGCATCTTGATTTCATTAGTTCAGCACCTCGGCAAACGGCTTTATATACTGTCGCTTCCCTCGACGTCATGCAAATGATCCCCTGACTGTTGCAGGGGCTAATTTGCATTGTGCTTACGTATCTGAATGCAAATGAGCCCCTGACATAAGCTGCTACAGGGGAAGAACACGGCTGTTACACGCGATGATAAAACTGACATAACTACGCGATAACTCACGAACACCAACAAACAAATGGTAGTTTTGGTTAGAAATAAATACTTTTTCTTGTCATATATCTAATAATAGACAGATGTCATCGTCTCACCAGTTGTCTTTTTATTTCTCTGTTGATAGCCCGACACGTGTTCCGCAGCCATCTTGTATTTTCTCGCGCGCGTGGGATTGTGGGATCTCTCTTATGACTGGATCTAGTTTCAAGAACTCTCTTGAGTCGATCGCGATTGAACATCGTTTCAGTCAGTCGAGATTGAAACGGTCGAGAGAGGTCGCACCATGGCATAGTCGCCGACCTTGGTCACAATCTAGATCGAAATGCTCGGTGCGAACGGGGTATAACTAAAGGGTTCGCATAAGTCGAGGTATTACTGTATTAACCAAAAAGGTTAAATTAAACAATTAATATTTTAAGGTAATACAGTATTGTTATTGTATATCAACTTTTGTTAGATATTTAATAAAATAAATTTCAATTTTTAAAAATTTATAAACAAACTTTTCTAGAAAAACTAAAATTTATTGTTGTATATTAAATATTTTTTATTAATAAAAATTTAAGATTTTGTTTAGTTTTTCAGTA